AGAGAGATTATACAGATGTTGATCCTGTGGAAACCAAGAATATTATGCCTCTTAAATTGGCTGGGAATTTTGCAATGCATCCCGTAACGGCTAAGTATGGCAAAATCCGTATTGAATCGGTAGTATTTGGTTACTTTAAGGTGAATTCTGCTGGGCAGATTCTAGAGGCTGTTTCAGTAACCAATCCGCCGTATGTACGATATTCCGCTGGGTTCTGGATTGATATCCCTAGTTCAGCACTTCAGGTGCTAGCTGATAAAAAACTTCATTGCGCGGGTGCGGTGCATGCTGCTGAACACACTATCCTATCTATGATACCTATTCTGACCATCGGAAACTCTGAGGCTGGTGCCGGTTCTGACGTGCAAACTGAATGCAAAGCCCCGGAGAAGGAGTTCTCCAAAACAGATACTAAAAGGAAACGTCCAGCGAGACTAATTTTCTATGACTCTCAAGGAATGAATGGTAACGGTACTGGAGTCACGTCACGCGCGTTTGGCTATATCACCGAATTAGTCAATTATTCGTTCGAAAGGTTAGAATCTTGCCAATGCCGCTTTGGCTGTCCTGAATGTTGTTTGTCTACATATTGCTCTGAACACTTTGCTGTGATGTCTAAGCAAGGTGCCCGTGTTATATTTCGTGCACTGCTTGGTCTCGAGTTAAACCCCAAGCACAACAATGGAGAACCTGTTATCCCCGATGGACCAGAAGAAAACATGCCTTCACATGCATTAGATGTTGAAACTATTGTGTCTGTTACGGAATGATTGAGATAACTTTGATGTACTACTACTATTGTATGGGCGTGCTGTGCATGTGCTCTACGCGGACCAGTCCTTGAACAGATTAATCAAACCTGCAGTAGAGGAATCGTGAGAAGAGACATGGCCAGGAGCATCGAGTTCCTTTCCAATTGCTTTAGCAAGAACTTTTCCTAATTCCACACCAAACTGATCAAAGCTGTTAATATTCCAAATAGCGCCTTCAGTAAAAGTAAGATGCTCATAATAGACAATCAGAGCACCTAGAGCAGCAGGTGTAATCTTTTCGGCCAAGATGCTAGTAGTTGGACGATTTCCAGAAAAAGATTTGTGGTTGTAAAGCATTTCAGGGTTGTTCTCAGCCTTGACTTGTTCAATTGTTTTGCCTACCATTAGAGCCTCGGCCTGGGCAAAGTAGTTACTGGCCAACATTCTCTGATGAAGATTTCCTTCAATAGGATTGTGGCTTTTGGCAGCCAAAATGAAGTCTGCAGGAATCAATTTAGTACCCTGGTGTACACATTGGAAGAACGAGTGCTGTGCGTTGGTGCAGGGCTCTCCGAATAAAATGGCACCGGTAGACACTTTAACGAACTCATTTGTGCGGGTGACGCTTTTTCCGTTGGATTCCATGGACAATTGCTGCAAATATGCAGGGAAACGGTGCAAATATTGATCAAAAGGCGCGACCAAATGAGTTTGGGCTCCAAAGAAGTTGTTGTACCAAACACTAAGAATACCTCCTATAACTGGAATGTTGTGCTCGAGTGGGGTTTCGAGGAAATGACGGTCCATTGCCTCGGCACCCTTAAGGAATGCCTCAAAATTTTCGTATCCGATATAAAGTGCAACAGAAGTGCCAATTGCGCTCCACACGGAATAACGACCGCCAACCCAGTTTTCGAAGCCAAACATATTCTTCGTATCGATGCCAAACTTGGCTACTGCCTCAGAGTTGGTGGAAAGTGCAACAAAATGCTTGGAAATATGAGCTGAGTCTTTAGCTGTTTCCAAGAACCACGTCTTAGCCGAGTTTGCATTAGTAATGGTTTCGGCGGTGGTGAAGGTCTTCGATGCAATGAGGAACAGTGTGGTTTCTGGGTCGCTATTCCTCAGCGCCTCCGCAATATGAGTTCCATCTATATTAGACACAAAATGCATAGTCAGATCAGCTTTGCCGTAGGGCTTGAGTGCTTCAGTGACCATTACTGGGCCGAGATCAGATCCTCCGATACCGATGTTGATGATAGTTTTGATTGCTTTACCTGTGTAACCTTTCCATTCGCCACTGCGGACTTGCTCAGAAAACTCTTTTATATGAGCCAAAACCGCATTGACTTCAGGAGCAACATTTACGCCATCGACTTTCATTTCACGGTTCGCACGGTTGCGTAAGGCAACATGGTACACTGCGCGGTCCTCAGTGAAATTGATATGTTCACCAGCGAACATTGCATCACGAAGAGACTCGACCCCAGCTTCTTTAGCAATTTCAACTAACTTAGCAAGAATTTCCTCATCAATTATGTTTTTTGAAAAATCAAAGAGGATCTTTGAGTCATCGAAGTTCCTGAACATCTTGCTGAACTTGCCGAAACGTTCAGGGTCTTTAGCAAATTCGTCTTTAACAGACAAACTCTTGCCTTTAGTCTCATAAATTTCACTCAATTCCTGCCAGGCTTTCAGTTCGCATGGCTGCGAGAATTTTGTAAACGACATTTTTCCTTGATTTTCCGTCAATTCAGAGAGTGATGGCTAATTCTAAGTCTCGATGTGCTTTGGGGGAGCAGGGCGTGGGGGGAGAATTGTCACTTACTTGGGTTCTCGGTATTACCCGCCAAAGAGACTTGCTCTTCCGAAACTATCCATACACTAAACACAGCAATGAAACAATCACTCAAGAAGAATTAGTCCACATTCATAATTTCATAGTCATTTCTTCTAGTAACAAACTGCCAGAAATCGAGAACTACCACGGCGCATTCTGTCGCTCCAAGGATGTCTTCGGAACCAGTTAAAAACTTTAACTAGATTAAAGTTTATAGTAAATGTTGGTTCGTTTCGCGGTCATTATCATCATCATCGTCTAATAAATCAGATCTCTGAGGACTTTTCAGACCCAGCAGGTCGTCATTAAGCACATCCCTCAGTTCAAGCACGTTAGAACGCTCTTCAGGTGTAGAGATATGGGGCGTTCGTGATGAGTCTGAACCGTGTCCAGTGAACGAATCGTCGCTATGACTAGGTAACGAATCGTGTCTTAGTCTGCTAGTCAAATTGTGCAAAGAATCTGTGTTGTGATTGTTCGGATCTGCAACCTTTCTAGGCTTAGACTTAGCAAACACTTCCTGTGCTGTTTTGAGGTACAGGCTAGAGAGCATCCCGATGTTCAGGCTTAGGTCGTCTAGAGTCTGGCTTGAAAATTTCTGCGTTGTACCTGTAATGACAGGAAGAGGCCCTAGGACAATCTTCTTCACTGTTTCAACATTGCCAGTCAGCATTCGTTTGTACATGTATCCACGTTCGCGAAGATCGGGATGGTCGCAGTCCTCGGTAGCCCACTTAATTACCTTTATGATCAGGTCCTTAGCTTTGGCTGGCCTGAATAAAAACATTTTCATTGTGGCAGTCAGCAAAGCCAATTGCACTTCAAGCGACTCATCTAAAAAGGAGAACAAAAAATCTTCAAGAAGATCACACCCGTTGTCGAGCCGATCTGCATATTGGCCAATAATCCATATAAGTGACATTTTGGCTCTCGGGTCATCAAGTGAGTCTGTATCTTGAAATAATTGCGATAATGTGCTTTCATATCGGCTAGGATATCGTCTGAATATGTTTTGTATTGCAATAGCGCCCTCTTGCACGATATACTCGACTTTTGTGCTGACCAGTTCCATCAATAATGTGCAACATCTGTCGGCAGCGGGTTCCACGCGTATAGCTACACTGCCAATTGCGCGCACTGCTCGTCTAGCGAATTCATGGTCAATTTCAGTTGCGTACTCTTTTAGTTCTGGTAATACTGACTGGTAATTATCTTCGTCAGTAAGAGTGTACATAATATCCAGTTTGGTAGTTTTCACATAAGGAGGGTCGTTGAATTTGCAGAAAAAAAGCTTTACATCCTCTGAATTGAACACATATGGATGCTGTTCGATTAATATTACAGTAGCACATAACGCCACATACTGCAACTCCGGCGGTTTAGAGAGTAACGACAACAGTGGTGAACCACACCGTTTCATTAAACTATGGACTGTAGATTCATCGGTAATATAGCGCGTAAGATACAGTATCACACGAACAGCACCCAAAACTACTCCTGTATTAGAATGTTGAAGACGCGGAACAATTATAGAGGCTATACTGGAAGCATCTTTTGACGACTGTGGTACGTAGAACGTAAGAGCCTGAAGAACGTACGTTTGGTACCATTCGTTACATTCTGGTAAAGTCTTCACGGCAATTTTTGCGTTATCATAATCCAGATTTAGTTGTAGCCCATCGGTTCTTTCAGTGATATCGATCAAGGAGCATAGGGCAGTAGCCACAACTGTTATATTTGAATCATCTAGTAAAGCATTAAGTCCATCAAGCATACCGCTATTAGTTATCTCGACAGAGGCTCGATCCCATATTTTGGCGACAGCTAAAGCCGCAGTTTTCCTGACTAAAGGATCCGAGTCGGCAAACGCGCGAGGAATCACTTTCAATGCCTTCTCTGTGTACTCCGGCAAATTGATGTAGCTGATTGTCCTCAAGTTCAAGCTACGCGTAATAGAAGAAGAATGCTTAGTACCATCGACCAAATAAGGTAATGCCTCGATTGCACGATTCGGCTCATTCTTTGCATAGTTGATAATATACAGTAGGCACAGTTTATATATTTCCGGAACAGATACGTCGAGCAAATCGATGATATCCGGAAAGAGTTGTAGCATGTCATTGTTCGGTAACGTCATACACGCAATAATGCGCTTCAATGTAATAATACATTTTTTAACGTGTTTCTTGTCTCGTTTATCGCGTAGTGCGGCGAGTCCTGGCCTTAAATCTGCAGCTTTAATAGTACGATCCATATTGGTGTGTTGTGAAGTGTCGACGGTCCGGGGAAAGGTACCTATAACGATCTTATATGTTCAACGCCAACACCTAGCGAGTCAATGGAAAAAAAATAAGTGCAACTATAGCAGCAATATGGCAGTTTACATATATAGAACTAAAAAGAAATGGTGGTTGCAAGGAGATTCGAACTCCTGCCTGTTACCAGATTCGAACCCTGCGTTCTTCGCAAGGAAGTGATTTTAACACTTGAGTCGAACGCCTTAGACCGCTCGGCCATACAACCTTCTACAGGCTTACTTGGGTCGGTAACTATATAAGAGCTATACTATGAACTTTATCAAATACATGGTTACGTTATTCTTTTGATCTCGGAGACACTTATTTCGGTTTGTGTAGCTTGTATACCTACCTTCATTGCTTTTTATAATATAGGGGAATAAAAATATATGGTCCTCGGATTTCGACCAGTCCTCATTGTCCTAGATACTCAAATTTAGCGTAAATCCAGCGCAGCTTTAACTACTCCTTAAATATTAAGGTTTTTGTTTGTTTTGATCTTGTTTACCGATCACTTACTATAATCAGTCTATTTTTCTCCATCGACTATTGATCCCATACCCCTTAGACATAATGTCTGAACCAGTCGATCAAGTTCAGTCTGCACTTGCAGGTTTATCTGTGGCTACTCCTGTGCCAAAGACTCTGATCATTCTATCGCCACTATCTTATAACCATGTGTTTTCGCGCTGGTGGGTTCGATCTTCCTACTTGAATTCAATTGTCGAAAATCCTCAAAGGCTACACGCTTCATCTGTTGGCATCGCTTCTGCTGTGTCTATGTATCCTGATCAGTTCTCTGTGCAGTCAAGTGAAACAAGAGTAGACTTGAAGCATCCACCTGAGTATGTTAAACGAGTGCACCAAGACTGGTCGAAGATCCTTGCACAGCTGTGCGAAGATTCTCCTGCAAAACTTGCTGAAGGGGACCTCGAAGTCCCAGATGATTGGCATTCAGGTGATATATATCTTTCTGAAGGAACTCTCTCTGCTTTAGAAGGTGTGGTAGGTGCTATAGAGAAAGGTGTTGATGCCATATTCTCTTCTGACATTAAAGGTTGTTTTGTTGCAATCAGGCCACCAGGCCACCATTGTCACCCTGGTAAGCCTTCCGGGTTTTGCATGATTAATAACGTTCATCTTGCTATCCAGTATGCTGCGGATCATCATAAACTCACGCATGCGGTGATACTAGATTTTGATTTGCATCATGGCGACGGCAGCCAGGACATTACTTGGAGACTCTCCGGATATGATTCTGATGAGTACAATTCTGATCTGGCCTCTCCAGCCAAGATCGGCTACTTTTCCTTACATGATATTAATTCTTACCCCTGTGAGCCTGGTTACACAACTATAGATCAAGTCAAGAATGCTTCGATATGCATAATGGCTCATAATTTGTGTATATGGAACATCCATTTGAGATCATATTCATCCGAGGATGAATTTAATCAGCATTATAGCTCGACTTATAGAGCCCTTATTGATAAAGCTGCGGAATATTTAGAAAACGCTTCGAAGAAAACTGAGAATTTTAAAGCTGCAGTTTTTATATCTGCCGGATTTGATGCTTCCGAATGGGAAACCGAAGCAATGCAAAGGCATTCAGTACACGTCCCTACATCTTATTACAACAGATTTACCAAGGACGCTTTTAACGAAGTGGCATCAAAGTATTGTGACGGTCGTATGCTTTCACTGCTGGAAGGTGGTTACTCTGACGGCGCTATATCATCGGGGGTACTTTCTCATCTTACCGGATTCAGAAATATGGATTGGCAAAAGGAATGGGGATCAGCCGCTACTGTTATTGGTCTTGAACGTGCTTGCAAGGTTAGGCCTGGACCTTCTCTAAAGAAATCTAGAGCTTATTCGAGTTTCGCACAAGCAAACCCAGGTAATACTCCTCCAGTTGTTCCAGAATGGCTCCCGAATGCTGCAGAGTTAGCGAAGACTTTTTGGAAGCCATATGAAAAGAAACCAGTACGCAGCCGTGCTAAAGACGATCTGATCACACCTCCATCCTCCACCTCTTCTACGCCTTATCATTACTTGCGATCTGAATCTCGATATCCTTCTCGGCAGCAAGCTGTTCCGAATGTGCCAGTGAAAGCGACTGTTCATATCGACGACTCTGTTCCATCATCAGCCGGCTCAGTTCCAGGTATTGAGGCGGTTGACCAAGTAGTGCTATCTTCAGTGGCATTACCTGTTAGTGCATTTGCAGAGGTTCAACCTGAGCCTAGTAATGAGTTCATAAAGCGCGAATCAAGGGCATTTGATTCTCCTCTCGCCGAACGTGGTAACCAGAACATCGAAAGGCCCGTGAAACAAGAAAAGAAGCCTACTGGTGACATATCGGAGCTTGTTGACGACCTTCAGAACCTTGACCTGCAGTATTAGTTTTTTTGTATTTTTGCTGTTTTTGCCGATTCACATTTGTTTATGCCTTTTATGTTTATGAATTTCTTGTTTAACTGTATGTTTAATATATTAGTCATTCTTCTCGTATAAAGTAACGGTGAAGCATTTATCCGGTAGGAAACTGGTTAGCAAGGTATGCTAAATACTTATCGCGTGAATTGGCATCAAGAGGTTGTTCGATAGTATCTTCAGTGTAGTGATTAAAGCGCTCTGGCTTGTCTAGCGAAGGTGATATCCCTTGCTGAGTATTTGTATCATCAACGAACGGGTTTGTCTGTTGAGAGGGGCGGGTGTGTTGACGGACGGGTTTCAACACTGGTATTGGAGGGGTTGGCAAAGTAGGAGGCTTCATTGTGCGATTTGGCCGTCGCTGTGATACGTCTGCATCTTGATCCAGTGCCGCTTGGCTCTGCATTTGCGCAACAGCTGGTACAGTTAAAGTCACAGTTTTTGGTTCAGGCATTACGAGCTTGGCTGCCTGCTGTATGCTGTGCATAGACTGGATGTTATATCCAACCACCTTTGTCAATGAGGTTGGTAAAGGCTGAATTGTCTTGACGGAATGAACATTTTGTAGTGCATTGGCTGCAGGTCTTAGTGGCTGGATATCAGCAATATTGTTATCTTCGTTGTGATCAAAATGATAATGCTGCTTAGGAATATATGTCTCACCTGGTCGCAATATTAAGGTCTGAGTTGCAGTAGAGAGTATATCCATCTGAATTTTATTTTTACTAATTTTTATATCCACATCAGAAATCATTCCCTTGATGTCGCTCCATTCAAGCTCATCAAACAGATCTGTAGCAATTACTTCGTTCAGTAACCGGGTAATTTCAGATTTAATCTCATCTTTGCGCTTAGAAAGAATAACAGCATGGTTGTTAGATTCTCCTGAGTCATTTAGTACACCAGCAGCAGATAATACCTTCGACGAATTAAAGCTAGGCGGAGTAATAATGTTTTCCAGTTCTCTATCTGCAGATTTCTTTACCTGCAGTATATTTCTGAGAGGCTGAACATTGCCAGACAGATTAGGGACATCCTGATTGGGTGTTGAAGCAAGATTCTTGGTGTTTTCCTTAGGTTTATAGTCCTGATTGCTCATTCTGAGCCTTGGAGGAGAAACAGTTGTAGGCTTTGCTGAAATTACCGAAGCAGGTTTTGGTTTTTCCGAAGGAGTGATCGGGAGAGGTATTAATTGCTGCTGCTTCTGCTTAGGCGATAGTGAATTCAAGTGTCTGAATTTATAGAAGACTGTTAGAAAGTAATCAACGGTAATATCGGCGATTGATCGTACTTCTTCGTCCGAGTAGTTTTCGTCATACTTCACAGACTTTGTTCGTTCTATTAGCGCATTCAACTTCTTCTTCCTTTTCGGGTACTCGGATTTATCCATTGAGCGGTACATAGGTCTATGTATTTGAAATGATCCATCATGAAAAGAACCCCAACCGTTCTCGTAACTTTCTGCGATTAGCGCGTCCAATGAAGACGATTTAGCGCAATCTGTGCCATCTGGGCAAGTAAACACAGTTCCAATGACCGAATCATCTATGTAGTAGTCTAAATCACGTAGGAAATATCTATGTGAGCGCGCAAACTTATAGCACGAATATCCTGGTACGCAGAATAGTTCGTTGAAGTTGAATCTGTCATGAGATTCCACGCCAAAAGATATGACTTTATCAGCAATTCCACCTTTGCAATCCACAATATTCATTTGCGTCGACGAGTGGAATAGGCTTATGATCTTGACTTTCTCCACTCTTATACCGGTGTATTTCCCAGACAGGCCCGGTATAGTGCTAGAGCTGCATATACGCGATACATCAATGTCGGCGAGTACGTGCAGCGAAAAGAACAGAAAGACACACCCAATGAGTTTGTCTATGGACATTGTTTCAAGCACAGAGGTTCGCAGAACTGAAGTCTCAGTGTATGCTTGTTAAGTATCGGCTTGAGATTCTTGAGGAGCGTTAGGTATCGATTATACTGTGGTTTCCAAATAAACAAAGGGAACTTAAAAGATTTCAAAGAGATTTGTTTCATAAATGAAAAGAGATTGTGACAGGGTGTTATGCATATCGTAGAGTGAGGGATCTATTTCGCGATCCCTAGTAAATGCAAAAATATCGAGAGCACGTTCTTGTGTAAGTGAAGTTCGATCTATTCATTTCATATCTTCTTGTTAAGAATAGAAGAAATTATCACAAGGCTGGGTCCAGAGTTCCTAGGGGGATTCGCGCATGCAGGTAAATGAAATAAGGAGACTTATCTGCTGTAAATGTTACTGAAGAGTTGTCGACGCATTTGAAAGTGACATCTTTGTCTATTATAAGAGCAGCAACAAGGCAGCGGTCAGCGAGACGTATATTTTTGTGAAATTTGTGAAATTCGTGCTCCTCGTTCTTAGAGAGCATGTCGAGGGCTGCGCCGTAGGAGATATGAAGTCTCGGGTAACCGTCGACAAACGGGAAATGGGACAGGAAATAGCGTGCATGCATTAAGCAGTATTCGACACGCGAAAGATCCTTAGACACAAACACAGGGTCAAACATTTTGGTGCGCATGCCAGAACGGTAGGCACGCGGGGTGGAGTTTTCGAGGTCGTCGATTTCGGCTCTTGACAGAACTTTTTTGTAGACGATAAGGCTCTTGCGATGTTGCTTTTCACGGGAAAAATTGGGGTTTGCAGATGTTATAGCGGCCATAGGTTTGAATCCATCTTTAGTTAAAAAGGGGTGTATGCTGCCGATGCGGTACTCTTTGTTCCATCTGACATTGAAGGAGTACATG